GCCAGGCACGATTCTTCGGCAACCAGACTTCCCAAAAGTCTCCTGATGAACTTTATCGAACACATTCTTCTCTTTATTGTACTCAAGTATAACAATCCTACCCGAATCTGAGCCAACCACTATATAATCCTTGTGCGCACCAGTCAACCTAAACTGAGCTAAGGATCTAATGGCACCGAATACTTCAACAGAGTGAATCGTCTGGATCTTACCGTTCTCGTCAGGACGGAGAAGATCGAGAATCTTCCCGCGAGCAACCGCAATCTCCTGAGTCTTCCCGCCGGAGAAGTTACCGTTGATGGCGCAGATGATTCCGGTCGCCTGCTGCAGAGTAAGACTGTATAGATACATCTCTTCGGAATCTTCCAAGCAAGCTACAAGGGAAGGCCTAGGGTTTAACAGAATCAGGAAAACTGTAAGGAGAGCTTCAGGATTGGTTTTTGGTGAAGACAAACACTGAGAGCTTCAGATTTAGCAGATTATGATGAATAAACCCTAGAGTGGATTCAGGTAACAAGTATTATCGCCATAGCTCCGTAGCTCGACGAAGAGAGTGGTGGTGGTGTTACAGCTCAACACAAAAGGCGGAGGTTTTATAATGGGCCTATTTTCTGAAAGATTTAGGCCCAAACATTATAGATTAAGCCCATAAATAAATGACGATCGTGGAAGAAAAGTGAAACGGATTAAGGGAGTAAGTAACAGATTTTGTTGAATATTCTATAAACGAAACGTGAGGTTTAGTTAAATACAATCCTCAACTAATACAATTACGAGTAAGCAACAACAACTCCACTCCTATCATCTCATAATCCTCCAAAGTCTCCTATATAAACAAACACATTAGAGCATAGAAAATAAACACAAATATAAACCAAAATAAGTGAAGAACAATGACCAAATCTCTAAGCCTTACGATCTTGCTTTTCCTCTTGATAGCTTCTAATGTCCATTCTGCTAGACATCTCGACGAGATCGAAAGTCAGCCGCAACTAGTCCCCGGCACCCAAATCCCCTCGGTACCGGATGAGGAGGATGATAGTCCACCATCCGCATCAACAACACCAACAACAACACAACCTCCTTTACCAATTCCTCTTCCAGGACCCGCCACGGGTGGACACGTGCCGGTCCTAGAGTTTTTTATGCACGACGTGCTAGGCGGGTCACACCCGTCAGCACGTGTGGTCACAGGGATAGTAGCACAAACAGAAGTAAACGGAATACCATTTTCTAAATCCAGCAACAATATTTTCCCAGTAGATAACGCTGTACCGCTTGTTAATGCAAACAATATCAACAATTTAATCAACCCAAACACTGCTCCTCTCCTCACAGGACTCAGTGGCTCTCAAGCCAGCACCGTTATCCAAAACACTAACGGTAACTCCCAAGGATCCCTCAGTTCCAACAACCTCCCTTTTGTAACCGCGGGTCAACTCCCTCCCATAGCTGCCCTCCAGCATCTCATGTTTGGCACCATAACGGTGGTCGATGATGAGCTCACCGAGGGCCATGAGTTGGGCTCTGCGATTATTGGCAGAGCCCAAGGGTTTTACCTAGCTAGTTCCTTGGATGGAACTAGCCAGACCCTTTCTTTGACTGTGTTGTTCCACGGAGAGCATGATCATCATGACACTCTAGATGATGCCATCAGCTTCTTTGGGGTGCACCGAACCGCTTCTCATGCCTCGCATATTGCTGTTGTGGGTGGAACTGGGAAATTCGAGCATGCTAAAGGGTACGCTGTTGTGGAGACTCTTCACAACCAGGAAGACCAACATGTCACTGATGGTCATGATACCATTCTCCATTTCAGCATTTATCTTACATACTACAAAGCTTGAAGAGTAATGCCTCTTGTCGAAATGTTTTCTTTATTTCATCTGTATGTTCTTCTTTACTAATTTCATGTGTGGCCTTTGTTGTGTGTGCACGTTCAGTATATAAAAAGGGGGCTTAAATGAGAATCTATGTTTTAATATAATCACATTTTATGTCTAAATACACAAAAGACTTGTGGAAACACTTTAAGATTAACGTCCGACTTAAATTCAAAGTTTAGAGCTCAAGATAAAGGAATTAATATAAGATTCTCTGATGTCTTTAACAAATCCACATAGTCAGAATTAAGAACTCCATGGAATTACCTTGTTGATGAAAACCGGAGAATTGGATATTTATGGGGAATTATTTTCGTATTATTGGTTTTATAATATAATTAATTTAAATTTAGAAATATAATATAATATTATTTGGTATAATTTTAACTTTTTAACATTTGTAAGTAAAAAAAAAAATTATAAAATTATAATCAGCCGTCTAAACAAAAAAAGCGTTGATTTTTCATAGACCGATTTTGTAATTAACCAATCTTGCTAAAATCGAAACGTCCAAATGGTTTTAGCGCCTAGAGGACTAGACGGTCGACTTTCAAACAGAGCAAGGTAGACTTGTAATAAGCATATGGAAACCATGATGATAGTTAATTTTCAAGAATGCTAATGATTTTGGAGGTGACCAAGACCATTAATAAATCATTTATTTGAACATATATACACACTCATGATGCATTCAACTAAAACGCCACACAATAGATCAATATATGAGCGTCCGTTTTCTTATAATTAATTATATCAAAGGCAAATGTGGACCACGTACGTATAACGTACCAAATGGAGTGTCATCACTCCTTTTTTTGCTGTCTTTCTTGTTGGACCGATGCGAAGAGATGAAAAACGATTTACATATATATAAACATGCGTCAGAGAGTAATCGTTTTCATGAGATTCATGAGATATATATAAACTATAAGGTTTTTAAGATCTAACGAACATCGCGATCAGTCGTCCGATTCTTTAGATGAATCCGAGATTATCTTCTGGATCATCTGGTTTGTCTCTTCCTCCGACATTTGCTCTTGTTTGCTTTGCCTCTCCTCATACGCCTTGAAGAATTCCTTGTTCTCTTTCTCCAGCTCCTTCCACACTGTAAATTGTTTTGTTCAATTCATCATATATGATAACAAAAAAGGCAACAAATATTTAAAAATTAAATTATTATACAAAATCTATCCGTATATATATGTTACAAGGAAGATCTAATTTTGTGTGTGTGTTCTAGCTTCCATTTATTATAGGCAGAGTATATAATCGTTAATTAAATTATGCATGTGCACTTTTATGTATACAAACATACAATATCATCGATCATGGAAGATCATACATGTAGGCGCGTATGTACATCGCGAGGTCAAATTCTACATGATGGAAT